AGAAAAAAAAAAAAAAAAGACAAAGAAGACGTGGAATTTGGCTGGGTGCGGTGACTCATTCTTATAATCTCAGCACTTTTGGAGGCTGAAGCAGGCAGATCATTTGAGATCAGGACTCAAGACCAGCCTGGCTAACATAGTGAAAGCCCATTTTTACCAAAAATACAAAAATTGGCTGGGTGTAATGGTGCATTCCTGTAATCTCCGTTACTCGGGAGGCTGAGGCAGGAGAACTGCTTGAACCTGGGAGGTGGGTGTTGCAGTGAGCTGAGATTTTGCCACTGCACTGCAGCTTCAGTGACAAAGTGAGACTCAGTCTCAAAAAAAAAAAAAAGCCAGGTGCCTGGTGGCTCACACCTGTAATCCCAGCAGTTTGGGAGGCCGAGGTGGGCGGATCACGAGGCATAAGGTCAGGAGTTTGAGACCAGCCTAGATAACATGGTGAAACCCTGTCTCTATTAAAAATACAAAAATTATCCAAGGTGATTCCCTCTCAAGGAGACATCCACTGCCCCTCTCAGGAAAGTAGCAACTTGGAATAGAATCTTGCATGCCTAAGGTCTTTGGGGAACAGAGATACTTATTTCCTCTGCCTTCCTTAGCTGCCTATGTGGATACCCACGTGTAATCCCTTTGGGATAGATTCTCATGCACATGCTGAAGAGTTGTCTTTCTTTTTTTTTTTTTTCTTCTCATTTTTCTCCGCTTATAAACCCATTGATAAGGTTTCTTCAGTCATCAACTATGATCTTCCCACCAACAGGGAAAACTATATCCACGGAATCGGTTGAGGTGGTCAGTTTGGCTGTAAGGGTGTGGCTATTAACATGGTGACAGAAGAAGACAAGAGGACTCTTCAGGATATAGAGACCTTTTACAACACCTCCATTGAGGAAATGCCCCTCAATGTTGCTGCCCTTATTTGAGGGGCTATCCTGCCACCTAGGCCCAGCCAGAGTTCAGTCTTGGGGGGGCTGAAGAAGAACAGCAGGAGGAGGAGGGAAGGGAGTCAAGGGATGGACATCTTGTCATTTTTTTTTTTCTTTGAATAAATGTCACTTTTTGAGGCAAAACCAAACAAACAAAACAAAAATTGGCCAGGCACAGTGGCTCACACCTGTAATCCCAGCACTTTGGGAGGCCGAGGCAGGCAGATCACCTGAGGTCGGGAGTTCCAAACCAGCCTGACCAGCATGAAGAAACCCCATGTCTACTAAAAATACAAAATTAGCCAGGCCTGGTGGTGCATGCCTGTAATCCCAGCTACTTGGGAGGCTGAGGCAGGAGAATCACTCGAACCTGGGAAGTGGAGGTGGAGGTGAGCCGAGATGGTGACATTGCGCTCCAGCCTGGGCAACAAGAGTGATAAATAAATAAATAAATAAAATAGGCCAGGTGTGGTGGCTCATGCCTGTAATCCCAGAACTTTCGGAGGCCGAGGTGGGCAGATTACCTGAGGTCAGGAGTTTGAGACCAGCCTGGCTAACATGGTGAAACCCAATTTCTGATATAAATACAAAATATTAGCTGGGTGTGGTGGTGCGTACCTGTAATCCCAGTTACTCAGGAGGCTGAGGTTGGAGAATCACTTGAACCCAGGAGGCGGAGGTTGCAGGGAGCCAAGATCACACCATTACACTCCAGTTTGGGCAACAAGAGCAAAACTCCATCTCAAAAAAAACAAAACACAAAAAACAAAAATTAGCTGGGCATGGTGGCGTGTGCCTATAATCAGAGTTACTCAGAAGGCTGAGGCAGGAGAACTGTTTGAACCTGGGAGGCAGAGGTTGCAGTGAGCTGAGATTTGGCCACTACCCTCTAGCCTAGGCGACAGAGTGAGGCTCCGTCTCAGAATAAAAAAAAAAAAAAAAAAAAAGAAGAGGAAGCAGAATTTATTTGCCTTCCCCTTAAATCTGGACTGGGCTTGTGACTCATTTTGACTAGTGGAAGGTGGAAGTGAGATGATGCTAGGTCTAGGCTTGGCCTTAGAAGGCCTGGCAGTTTCCATTTTCACCCTCTTGGGAGCCAGCCATTATGAAACCAAGTTCACCTGCTTTACTGGAGAGAGAAAGGACCTGGAAGATGAAAGACAACAAAGGGAGAGAGGGATGCCCAGCCAGCCACCAGCCATCCCTTCAGCTGAGGCACTGAATGGGGGTGAGTGAAGCTGGCAGATCTCACAGTCCCAGTTGAGCTACCTCGGCCAAAACACCACCTAGAACACAGATGAGCCATCCCAACCGAGCCCCGCCAAACTACAGAATTGTGAACAAATACATGGTGGTGGGTTTTTATTTATTTATTTATTTGAAACAGGATCTTGCTTTGTTGCCCAGGCCTGAGTTTAGTGGCGTGATCACAGCTCACTGTAGACTTGACCTCCCGGACTCAAGTGATCCTCCTGCCTCAGCCTCCTGAGTAGCTGGGATTACATGCACACACCACCACATCCGGCTAATTTTATGAATTTTTTTGTAGAGATGGGGTTGCACTGTATTGGCCAGGCTGGTCTTGGACTCCTGGGCTCAAGGAGTCCTCCTGCCTCAGCTTCCCAAAGTGCTGGGGTGGTAGACATGAGCCACTGTGCCTGGCCGGTGGTAGTTGTTTTAAGCCACTAAGTTTTAAAGTTATTTGTTATGCAGCAACAGGTAACAAAAACACCACTGAGTGGAATTTTGACACTGAAAATTCCAACTCAGGGGTGGGTGGGTTGAATTCTAGGATGAGTTATTTCTTGTCAGCACTTTGAATTTAGAATTCCACTGATTTCTGTCTTCTTTTGCTTGGCAGGTAATCTTTCAAGTTTTTTATTTTTGTTTTTGTTTTTTGAGATGGAGTCTCTCTGTCACCCAGGCTACAGTGCAGTGGAACGATCCTGATTCACTGCGATCTTCGCCTCCCAGGTTCAAGCCGTTCTCTACTACCTCAGCCTCCCAAGTAACTGGTACCATAGGCATGTGCCACCATGCCCAGATAATTTTTGTATTTTTAGTAAAGACAGGGTTTCACCATGTTGGCCAGGCTGGTCTCGAACTCTTGACCTCAGATGATCCACCCACCTTGGCCTCCCAAAGTGCTAGGATTATAGTCCTGAGCCACCGTGCCCGGCCCCTCAGTTTTTTTTTTTTTTTTTCCTTTC